AATATTGGGTTGGAACACACATTCATAGCGTTTCTTCACAAGATAGCATTTGAACTTAAGCTGGTTAAGTGTAACACGTAACTGAAATTCATGACATATAATTTCGGAAATACAGAGTAACCTTAGATTTGAATTAAAAAACATGTATCAATATGGTGATTTTCTTTCGTCTATCAATGATAATGTTATTAAGCTTATCAGACGATATGAAAGGAATTTGTTTAAAATAGACAAAACTTGTCTACATTATTTAATGAAACATGCATTAATGAAAAATGCTGCCTATATATATATATATATATATATATATATATATATCAATTATTAAAAATAAACCCATTAATAATATAATAGAAAAGCGCTCCCCTGCAGAAAACTGCTTAGCAAAAGTATTCAACAAAAATGACGTAAAAATTAGTTACACATGCACAAAAAAAAAAAACAGAAAACAAAAAAATAAAAAATAAAAAGCCACAGCAAAAAAAGTAATAAACTGCAATAACGTAATCAAGGAACCTCAATACAAGTGTAGAAATAAAACAACATGTCCACTCGAAGGGAACTGCCAACAAACGAATATAATATATAAAGCCGAGGTAAGTGCAAACAGCAGCACGATCTACTACCTCGGTGCCACTGAGGGACCATCCAAGAAAAGAAAACATAGCCACGAACTCTCATTCTCCGACAGAATATACTCAAACAGCACTACAATATCCACATACATATGGTAACTAAAAGACAGAAATATTACAGCAAGAATAAACTAGGAAATATTGAAAAACGCACCTACCTACAACAACATAGAAATGACTACTTTGCCTACATGAATAGGTAGCAATGCTTTCCCACGCCCAACAAAAGAAATTACTAAACATAAGAACAGAAATAATTTCTAAATGCACATATGAAAACAAATACCTATTATCACAATTTATATCACACGGATAAAAAAGTACCAACCAACACTGCTACATAAAACACCATTGACCCTATGAACACGAAAAGAGAATCCACTGACATCACTGACACCATAACACCATAAATCATTTTCTAATTCAAACTACAATCATAATATTTATAATTATTGTTATTACCATTCCACCACTACTACTACAATAAGTTCTTCCATTTTACCATAACTATTTGCTGTTACAATTCTTATTATCATCACCCGATCCTCCCACCATTACTACCGCACCACAATTACCAATGCGGCATTAGTCCACCATTATACTTTCGTTCACCAGTAAAATTACTACCACCGCATAAATACCAATAAGTATTATAAATTGGAGTTTCTACCATTTACATAAAGGCAATCGTCAAAGACAAGCAAATAACCGGCTTTAAAATAATAACAAAAACAGCATTAAAAAATTAAAAATGATAACAATTTTACCTACCGCAGTCTTTACAGAGATCCTATCTTAAAGTAAAAAAAATACACTCGGATAGATGGTGTGTGAACGCGCGTTCATACGTATATATGTGTGTGCGAGAAAACATTATTCCGCGAAGAAAACAGACACACGGCCTGTGTGCTGACATTGCTACTTAGAAAGAAGTTCGCTACGCAATCCAACATTAAATACAGCGACCAATTGCGTACGTATGCGCACAACGACACATGGATGCGCATATACGTCCAATCCCACACAGCTCATATATGTTCAACTAAATATGTTAGCTCTATCACTGATATTTGTCGAACAATCACGTAGTTAAGATAACCACTCAGTTGTGGAGCAAGCTGAGTGAAGACTAATTCAACATAGAGACAGAGCTATTTATGGTGCAATGGAGCATCTCATTATGCTAAAGTGGGATAGTCCATTGCTTGGGCTCTGATTGGCTGCTGGTACCTGAGTGGAAGTATTACTATATAAATACTAGCATGATTTCTCAGTTTGCAGGATATGTATTAAGTTACAACCTGCTTTATTTTTGTCTGCCAGCTGGACGCTAGTTGGAATTCTTACGCCGGTACGTGCTTTTTATTATTGTTATTCTACATCTCGGCGTAAAGCCTCCCACAGCTCGGACGACTTTTCTTGATGGAATGAGGTTTTCGATAGTGAGCCCCATATTCAGAAGGTGCTTAAGTCCCCCGAGACATATGGTGGCCCCACTGTCAGGAAAGATTGTCATCCTAGTGCTGTGATTTCTGGGGATATTCTTAATTTGTCTGGGATCCGGTTTTGGCGAAAATGGAACAACATATGCATCAATTTCCCTTATCTGGCCTGTGTCTTTAGACGTATACGTGCCTGTCGTTTGATTGAATGTGATGTGGGCGATAAGTGTGTCCATGGCGGCTTCATTAGCCTCTAGGCTTTTCCTGACCGCTTGAGCTGGTTTCTTAGCCCGGCATACCCTCGATAGGTGATTGGGCTTCCCACAATTACTACATGTTTGTCCCCATGCTGGGCATTTTAGCCGGCGTGATTCAGTTCCTGAGGTGCCATGCTGGTGGCTGCCACAACCTAAGCAAGCCTGGTGGTTTGGTTTAACATTGCAGTTGCAATAGGTGCTGGTACGGATCGCCTCGTTGGCTTGTGGTGTACCCTTCTGTCTGCGGTATGTTGATAGCCGAGCAGCAGCTGTATCTGAAGCACTGGCCATTGAGGTTTGGTCCCGCAATGCTGATTCAAATGCCTCAGCATGACGGATATTTTGTTCAAGGGATTTAAGTGCCCCAGCTTTGGCCAGTAGATCAGCCTGGGTGTGTCATTTGCTATTCCACGGATGATCTGGTCCTTGATGTATATATCAGACAGGTCATGTTCACACGAGGGCAGGTAAAGTTACAATCAACGGCTACGGCTCTGAGGCGGACAAGGTAACTTTGTATTGGCTCATCAGCATCCTGAGACATGGAGGCAAAAGCAAGGCGATGGACAATAGGACTTGACCTCTGGGTGACCAACACTTCTACCATGTCAAGTAGATTATCAGGATCAGTGGTAAAGAAGTCAGGGTGTGTGTTGATTATGGCATTTTGCACAGCCTCATCAGCACAATTGTATAGGTGAATATTAGCTTGGGAGTTTGGCATATTTGTCATCTTGGTAAAGACATCCCAGTCAATTCGGAACTTCCTGAATTGCTGTGGTGTCATCTCGAGATTGAGATGAGGAGGCTTGGCTGCTAGTGCCTGAATGCGGGTTGTCTGGGTGGTGGATTCCTTAGCCTGCTTAATGATACACAGGGCTTCTCCCATTAATGTGACTCCCAGCTCCTTAAGCATAGATCGATCCAGCATTTGAAGGCTCTCGATTGTCAGCTTCTCGTCCGCAAACCTTGTTGCATGAGTTTTGGCCGAGTCGGTGGATATGCCTGCTTCAATGAAGAAGAGTTCCCAATTTTCAGGTGTCATAGATCCTGTTCACAGCGCCATGTCGAACAATCACGTAGTTAAGATAACCACTCAGTTGTGGAGCAAGCTGAGTGAAGACTAATTCAACATAGAGACAGAGCTATTTATGGTGCAATGGAGCATCTCATTATGCTAAAGTGGGATAGTCTATTGCTTGGGCTCTGATTGGCTGCTGGTACCTGAGTGGAAGTATTACTATATAAATACTAGCATGATTTCTCAGTTTGCAGGATATGTATTAAGTTACAACCTGCTTTATTTTTGTCTGCCAGCTGGACGCTAGTTGGAATTCTTACGCCGGTACGTGCTTTTTATTATTGTTATTCTACAATATTAAGCGCTTTCCAATAAGTACCGCGCATGTATAATCCATAAATAATATATATATATAAATTGTATACATATACATACACATTATATATATATATATATATATATATATATATATATATATATATATATATAATTAATAATCAAACAAATCCTTTTACCTTATATAGGGTATAGGCTATTTCAGTAGACCACCGAAGTGGTTTTCAACCTAGTCCCTATATAAGCTAAAAAATTTCCTTGATCCACTTATATATAAAATTCGATATATATATATATATATATATATATATATATATATATATATATATATATATATATATATATTTGAATTTTATTTGTTATTTGGAATATATTTTTACCGTTTCCATGAGTTAGGAAAGTTCTTTCTGACAGATTCGAAAACCCTGATCTCATTAAAAAATTAAAAAAAAAGACAGGCAAATTTCTCCAGCTGTAGGCAATTACAAAGCATCGCTTTTGTCAAATTCTGGCCGACACTAGTAGGTCATTCATTGCAATATTTCAGGTCTTGACACATTGGGGCTGAAATTGTGGTGGGTCAGGCTTCAGCATCATCTGAAAAGAAACAAAGAAATTAGGTACACACACAGATATATATATACACACACACATTTATATAAGCCAGTAGTTCCAAACCTTTTTCACATGGCGGCACACTATTTAGTTCTTTAAATCTTTGCGGCACACCTATCACAAAAAATGAATATTTTCCATTCATAAAGCCTTTTTGCAGTAAAATAATAAAAAACAAAGAATATTATATAAGAATTTTTATTCACATAAATCAACATATCCTGTATTCAATATCGGGTACAAAATAATAATGGTTAATTTCAGTGGGACAGTTGTGCCTGGTGCTTCTTGACTACTGCTGCAATATTTGGGCGAATATGAGAGAGACACACTCTTAACTCTTCTTGAATATTTTTAAGTCTTTCACGTTTTTTTTTTATTTTTAATGTTGTTTAGGTAAGAAAATCCCAGTTCACATAGGTACGAAGTTGCGAATCGCAGTAAGATTTTGATGGCTTTTTTACTTAGAGATGGATACTCTTCCATAACAGAAATCCAAAAGGCGTCCAGTGGCAGTTGTGGCTACTTCAATTTGAAACCACGATCACTGGAAAGGCTTGCTAATTCTTCCTCTTTACATAACTCAAAATTGAAAAGGTTGATGACTGATAAATCTAGGAACGGATTGCGAATCCAATCAAATACTTCAATACTGATTGAGGGAATACGATGAATGTCGACAGTGAAATTATACATGCCATGCGCGTTATCTATCTATAGCAGTCTATTCACATATCTATCTATCTATCTATCTATCTATCTATCTATCTATCTATCTATCTATCTCTTTCTGGCCACATCTATCTATCTATCTATCTATCTATCTATCTATCTATCTCTTTCTGGCCATATCTATCTATCTATCTATCTATCTATCTATCTATCTATCTATCTATCTATCTCTTTCTATCTATCTATCTATCTATCTATCTATCTATCTATCTATCTATCTATCTATCTCTTTCTGGCCACATCTATCTATCTATCTATCTATCTATCTATCTATCTATCTATCTATCTATCTATCTATCTATCTCTTTTTGTTCACATCTATCTATCTCGTTCTGTTCACATCTATCTATCTATCTATCTATCTATCTTAAGCTGTAAAAAGCTATTTATTTTTTAAACTTCTATCTATCTATCTATGTTCACATCTCTCTATCTCGTTCTGTTCACATCTATCTATCTATCTATCTATCTATCTATCTATCTATCTATCTATCTATCTATCTATCTACCAACACAACAGTCCAAAGCTTAGTAGCGCAGAGGAAAAGAGAGGCCCAAAAGGCATCACATCGCAGGCAACTTTTCCCCACCTGCATCAGAACATTAGCCATGTTTTCTTTTTCTTATTCACTTTCCACGCCTTTTACTATTTGTTTGATTTTTAACGTACTAATTGAATTCAGACATGTTGGTACCATCTGGTGGCAGGAAGATCCCGATTTATGTTCTTTCTCTCATTTTTTAAAAAAAACTGAGATAATGTAAACCTGGTCAGAGAATAATAAAACTTACAAGAGGGTAGTTTACTTCAATGGCTAATGCAATGCACGTACATTTTTCGTATTATTGAAGGAAAACGAGAAGAAAGCACTAAACTCAACCGTAAGAAGATAGAATGTATAGTTGTCAGGAAGAGGAACGTCCCGACACGCAAATTATAAATTGAACATGCAAGCACAGCAATTTAAATGGGAAGGGTTTTAACAGGCGACGGCAATTGTGGCACCGAAAAACGAAGTCACATCCAGATAGCGAAATATGGCTTTCAAAAGATTAGCAAAATATTAAGAAACAGAAATGTTTTGTTAGAAACAAAGAAAATACTACTTAACTGTTATTTAATATCAGTCCTCCTATATATATATATATATATATATATATATATATATATATATATATATATATATATATATATATATATGCTGGTCAATCTGATCACAGATGAAGTAAAGAAGCAACAGAATGCGTAGAAAAATATGTACATTCATATATATATATATATAGTATTTACATTAGTCGGACTATTGTCGCCATATTTGTCACAACGTTTCGGCCGTTGTACGCTCCGGCCTTCTTCAGGTGATTGGAATTTCGAACAGAACCCTTTATTTCGATCACTGGGGTAGACTGTTCTAGTTCCACGTGCCATGTGCCATGTTTGATGGATGTCAGTTATCAGTTATCTCCTGCTAATTTTCCCTCTGAAAGTTCTCCACTGCCTTAACCAGATATTGAACTCACCCTCTTTGGCTCTGTCACTGGATCTGACCAACGCCTTTATCCACTGTGCCATGTGTCCTTGAGGATATATACTTAATTACGAATCTCTCTCTCTATATATAAACACGAATATATATATATATATGTATATATATATATATGTACATATATATACATATATATATATATATATGTCTATATATATTTGTATATTTAGGCAGCAATCCTTCCTTTATGCATGTTTCATTAAAAACGACAGACAAGGTACTACGGTTGAGCTTTTTATTTAATTTTTCTTGTGTTTTGACAAGAGCTTTCTTTTCTGGACAAAGGGTGTGTAAGAACTGTCCAAATGTTCTATATTTCCGAGCGCTTTCGGCTATACCTTTAGCCATTATCAAGGATGATTCGATTATCAGCTTAGTAGAGTGTGTGTGTGTGTGTGTTCTGTGTATGTTCAGTGTGTGGTAGTGATGTTTTTAGTTTCCGAATACGGTTAGCAAATTGTTGCTTTGTTCATAGTTAATATTGTTAAGAGTTGACTTTTTCTTTTTTATTATTAAAGCTTCCATTATTTTTAGTCTTTTTTTCTCAAACTTATTATCTATTATAAAAAATTTAAGACGGCCAACCTTATCCTCAAAAATAACAACACACCAACTAAGTCAAAATTACAAAGAACGAAAATTATCTATGAGTTCAAATGCCCTTTAAGGAACTGCGTTCCTCACCAAAACGGACTCATAAATAATTACATCGGCTACACAACCACATGTTTATCCAGACGTCTTACGTTACACCTATCTGATCACAGCTCCATCAGAACACATTTAAACACACACTCAGATTTACCCGACACCATTAGGAACATACTAGTAGATAGTTTATATGGACTTTTATCTTGTTTTGGTGTGAGGAACATGTCGCCAGTGTTTGCAAATGTGCTTTTGATACACTCTGTGTAAGAATTTTGGAACACTATTTCAACACCTGACCATGAAGATTAATAATTCAAAAATGAAGGATTTGTGGACATATGTTTATAGGGACTTTTATCCTTGTTTTGGTGAGAGTAACCCACCTCTACAGTTTGTAAATGTGTTTGTGGTACACCCCGTATAAGAATTTTGGAACACTATTTCAACACCTTACCATGAAGACTTAATAATTCAAAAACGAAGGATTTGTGGACATATGTTGATAGGGACTTTTATCCTTGTTTTGGTGTGAGTAACCCATCTCCAAAGTTTGTAAATGTGTTTGTGGTACACCCTGTATAAGACTCTTGAAACATTAGTTCATCACCTGACCACGACGACTCAATTACTTAAAAACGTAGGATTTGCAGAAATATGTTGATATGAACTTTTGTCTTTGTTTTGGTGTCAGGAACCCACCTACAATATTTGTAATATTATTTTTGATACCCTCTGTATATTGCCTATTTATT